TCTATAATATTTTTCATTACATCAATAATTTTTTCTTCTTTTTCAACCACACATTTCCCATCATATCACTATTCAAAAATCAATTCTTCCCCGAAAAATTCCTCCCAAACAAGCTCTTAGCCAAATGGTTTCTCAACATAGACAATTGAAAAACGCGGCAAACTAAAATATCAAATAAAAAATAACGTATATTTTGTGGGGCAGACATGGACTTCTTCGAATCGAATGTATTTCCGCGTGCATGTAGCAAGTGCCGGGACTTTTTCTCCAAATTATACATCATCATTTTTAATAAATAAGTGAGACGACCAAAATAAAATCTGCCTTTACGAAAAACTTTGCATTTAGATAAGTTTTCTTCCACTTGAAGCATCAATGCACATTTTGAATATGTCCAACAAGATAGATATGCTTTTTTCCGGTAGGTTGGGGGTTGACTGGAGCTATGATTAAATAATTAGGATAAATTGCGTTTGAGTTTCTAACTTTTGAAAGTTATGACAAGAAAGTCTAGAATCTTTGAATTCTAGTCCCCGAGGTCTCAAACCTTACAAATGTTTATGCCTCCGGTCTTTTGTGAGCAAAAATGTCAGTTTTATCGTTAAGAGGTAAAATTTTAAGTAAAATAACCATTTTATGTTTAAATTGATTTTTAAAAAATAAGGGTAAATTTCTTGGGGTAAGAACCTTTGAAGGTTGTAACGACGAGGTTCTGAACTTTTGATTTCTCTCACTCGAGATCCCAAACCTTCTAAATATATGCACTTGTGGTCCTTTTGTGATGAAAATCGTAAATTTTATCATTGAAAGGTCTAATTTAATTTAATTTAACGATGAGAAAATTTAATTCAACACACACCTAGCGGCAACGTGAATAAATAATACAAATGCAATATTGAATTTATCTACAATAATTCGTAACAAGTCACAAATTATCAAGTCTAGATTTAAATGAGACCAAGTCTATAGTGCATTCACAAAAACAAGTAAACGTTAATTGACTGACATTAAAGAGTTAGTCGACTGTGTGTACTTGCACCTATTCCAAATTCTTCAAGAACAAAAAATGACTACCTTAGTATCCTTTTGGAGGCACATAGGGTCAAATCTCAACTACCTTAGTATTCTTTTCTCTTTTCCTTTTACTTTTGAAAAATTTATGCAATCAATCCCAACTTTCACAGTTTCTAGCAAATTCATTACCAACCCTTGAAAATGACATTTTTAATTCTCTAAGAGTTGCTTCCATTTGCCTATTTCGTCAGTTTTACATTATTTTGTCAACCTCTGTTTTAGTTTCCTTAATTTCAAAAAGGTGAAGTTGACAAAATATTGTATTTAATACTTAACTTAGCCCCTGTTTGACGTAGATAAATCAAATTTCTGGTAAATTTTCATAAAATTGATCAAATATGTGGTCGAAAAGTTACAAGTCTCATGAAACGTGTAATTAAAATTAATTATTGGCATTGACTTAAAATTTATTCCATATTTCAATGTAAATCCAAACACCTAAATGCTTCCTTCATTTTCAATTACAAAATTTAGAAAAGGAATTACTCAAATCTCTTTTTTGCACAAATCTTATCAATATATGTAGTTGAGTGTAGGGTCAAATGCGAAAAAATTGTGTAAATGTTTGAAGAACTGTGGGTTTTTAAAATTTTTCATTTAACTTGAATATAATTTTATTTTTTCTTTTCATATATATTAGGAATATAATTTTTTTTATTTTGATTACTTTATTTTTGTATTTCATTATATGCATAGATATTGTTGGGTTTAATTCACCCAAGTAATGCACAAACGGAAATTATCATACTCAAGAACAGAAAAGCAGTAAAGAAAATAACACAATAATTGTTCACCCAGTTCGGCTATGCCTAATCTGGCGGGCTCAGCTACCAGCCCAATCCACTAGTGTACCAAGAATGCCTTCCAGAGAGAGTTTACACCGACCAAAATCAGATTACACAAGTTTTAGTCATCGATCCTAGCGATCTCATAAAACTTCAACCAAAGAAACGAACCCTAATATGCTATACAAAACCTAATCAACATAGCCAACAAATCAAACCCAAGGTTACTGTCACAATAACATTTACACAAGGATTTCAAAGCCTTAATTTGAAAATCAACCAAGAGAAAAATAAGAAGAAACTCCAGAAAGAACGAAGCCCTATGTTTTTCCTCTCTTGCCATAAACTGAATTGAGCCACACGTGAAAATGAGGCCCAAACAAAACCATAGCCATTGATTAAATCAGACGGTCCACAACACATGAGAAGAAGCACAATCCGGGTGCAATCAATCCAGCCACTCGGAAAAGGCCACGTGGAAAACTTAAAGAGTCGTAATTTTGGAAACACGTTTTCAGCTTCTTTCAATCTTCACATTGGTTCCAAAATGCAAACTCTCTACAGTATGCTTAAATGGTGCACAAATTGTGGAAGGGTCCAACATCATTGCCCGATACCTGCAAAAAATTAACCAGTATCAATATGCAATAAAGATAGACAAATTTTAAATTTATTCAAAGGTAAAATTTTAGTTTCCATATCAAATGGATTCACATTAGTATGAATTTTCTCAAGTATAATCTCACCACATGCAATTTTCTCACGTATGAAATGGTACTTCACCTCAATATGCTTGGACCTTTCATGTTATACAGGTTTTTTGCATAAAAGTAAAGCACTTTGACTGTCAGTGAAAATTGTAGGTGTCTCATGTAAGAAATTCAATTATCCNATGTAAGAAATTCAATTATCCCAAAATTCCCTTTAACCAGATACACTCTTTTACAGATTCAGTTATTACCACACACTCAGCCTCAGTACTCGATAATGCGACAATAGGTTGAAGTTGTGACTTCCAAGTGATACAATTATCACCAGGAGTAAAGAAATATGCAGTAGTAGACTTTCTTTGGTCTTTGTCTCCAACGAAATCCGAGTCTACATAACTTTTCAATGTCAATGGATCCGATCCCTTGTTAAACACCAAACCAACTTTAAGTGTTCCAGCTATGTATCTCAATAACCACTTTAACCCCCGCCCAATGAGGTTTCCCCGGATTAGACACTAACCTACTAAGGAAACTAATAGAATATGCTAAATCCGGCCTAATTGTAACCATAGAAAACATGAAGGATCCTATGGCATTAGCATATGGAATGTTTTTCATATCTTTAAATTCAACTTCAATTTTGGGACATTGGGCAGAAGAGAGGTTCATGTGGGCAGCAAGAGGAACATTAACCGACTTGGCTTCCTTCATGCCAAATTTAGTAATGAATTTACTTAAGTATGTTTCTTGAGATATGGTCAATATATTTTCCTTTCTGTTCCTATTGATAACCATTCCCAAAATCTTCTTGGCATTTCCCAAGTCTTTCATATCGAACTCAGATTTTAGGAGATTCTCGAGTCTTAATAACTCTGACTTGCTAGAACTCGCTAGCAACATATCATCTACATATAAAAGTAGATATACCTCACTTCCAGCTTTAGTATTGTTATAGTACAAGCAGTGATCATACTCTCTTATCCTAAAACCAATCTTCAGTACATATGTATCAAACATAATGTACCACTGCCTAGAAATTTGTTTAAGTCCATACAAGGATTTTTGTAACTTGCACACACAATCAAGCTTCCCTTTTTCTTCAAAGCCTTGAGGTTGACTC